AACTGTGGACAGGAAAATTGAACTTCGACTTAGTATTTATATATCATCCACACAAGCTGAATTGCAGGCCATTCTGGTTGGTTTGAAGGACGTACATCAAGACAAAAAAGGTGTTTTTGTATTTGTCGATAGCCGAGGAGCACTTGATTCCTTAAACAGTCAAAATCCAATCATCATGTCCATAGTTGAGGATTGTAAGAAAAGGATAAATGAGATACACCTGAAAGGTCACAAAGTGAAATTTATACCTTCACAAATTGTAGTCTTTGCAGTCTGAAGGTCTAACACTGGGCAACAAAAATCATTCCAGAGCTAAGTCAATGCTCATAATAGGAATGGTTGAGGGCCACAGGGCTAACAATACTGAAAACCAGGCATGACAGGGCAGATCTCATTGAAACTTAAAATACAGAACAATTTGGAAGATGTGGATCTGGACAATTTCTTCAAAAGATCAGATGTAACACAAGGAGCAATGGTTTCAATCTCAACAAGCTATAATGTAGGACTGAGAACAGGAGATGCTTTTTTACCCACAGGGTTATAAACCCATGGAACTACCTGCTGAAGCTGTAAATGCCAAAGGACTTACATTTTAAAAATCCAATTGCAAAAAATTATAAGGGCAAATGGGGGGGGGAGGACCTTTGATAAGCTGCCAGCTTCCTGTCCTTGTCGAAGCCCCTAAGAGTTTTAGTGGCCCTCATGTAAATTTAGTTTGACTGAGGATATCAAAGAGATTTATTTATTTATTTAATATTTATTTATTTATTTATGTATGTATACAAGAAGGTACATTGGGTTTGTGAGAGTACACGAGGTTTGGTGTTTATTTATTTATTTCTAGTGTGGTGCCCATGGGTTCTGTTACATCTGTTAAGGAAGAGTTTCAGATCAGGATTAGCATTTAGGAACAAGGTTTTATAATTCAGAATTCATTGTGTCAGAGGACAGGAAGTCATAATGTATTCATACATGGTAGACTTAAATGAATTTGGCACACCTCAGGGCGGAGTCCTCAGTCCTATGCTTTTCAATGTGCTGATACATAGATTAATAGCTGACATACCTACACAAGTCGATGAGGCTGTCATCTGCTATGCAGACGACATTTGCGTTATTGCAAACAGTGGTAACCGACTGCAGACTATCCTTGATACACTTGCAAATAAATGTATTGAATGTGGACTTATCGTCTCCACAGGTAAAACCAGGAACTTATGCCCCCAAAATCAATAATCCTCATGTTTTTAAAGTCAATGATCAGCACATTGAAAACTGCAGGCAATACAAATACTGTACCTGGGTGTGAATATTAATAGTGACATTGTAAGTGAACTACAATTTAAGCTTAAAGAAAGGCTAAGAATGCTTGCTGGAAAGCATATTGATATTAATGTCAAATATGCCAGAATGTTCTACATGATGTTCATCAGGTCACTAGTTGACTACCATGCCCTGCACCTTATTAGTCTTCCTAAGCAATAGGCTGAAAGGTTTAGAGAAAATTCAAAACGAAGCCATGAGGATAATTCTTGGAGCTTCCAGATAGTTGGATATAGGTACTGTATTCCAATCTCTGCTTTAAAAGCCACAATATTTCAGGAAATTAGGGAAAACAGAAGTGCCATCATTGACACACAAAGGCCAGAAAACTCAAGTATAAAGAGCTATGACATGTTTAGAACCGAGAATTATATGTACGGGCAGCATAAAACATCCACATTGTGTGACATTGTAATTGCCAGAATTAGGCTGAGATGTCAATATCTATGGCAGGTGACTGCAGGTAATGAATCCCCCAATGGTGAACATTCCAATTGTAAACTATATGAACAAGAGCTAAGACATACTCTCTAACACTATATCTATGATTGCCTTGTTATAACTTCAAACCAAATGGAATGAGGTACTTTGAGCTCTGTAATTACTTCATACACTCAGGAATTTTGGAAGATTTTCTTGAGCTGTATCCAGATTTTGCTAGTGGAGGCTAATAGATCAGTCTTACACTTCATGTTCTCTCCAGATTTTTAGTCAAAGTGGATTTGTTTTTGTATTGAGGCTGGTATTGTCTCCTCTGAAAACTACAGCTAGTTGTTTCTCTACACTGTGTAATATTTCAAACAGAATAGGGTGGCAGCACATTGCTGTGCATACCTAAGCTTGATAAAAAAAAAAAATTGCTAATGTAAACTTTTGTCTATCATTGTCATTGTCTGAAGTGAATTTTATTTGATGATTTACTTCCAAATAAAATGTAGTAGGTCTTTGCTAGTGTGTGAGCTTGTTGGTTGACATTTATGAGTACAGTACTCTATTTTAATTCGTTATTAACAATATTATTTAGTGTGTGTGGGTTGAGGTCAGATAGATGAAGGTAGTATTGTCAGCAAATAGTATAGGTTTTAGAAGGTTAGACATTTGGCAAATCATTGATGTATATATATATATTTTTTTTTAGCAAAATTAGGTATACACAGCAATGCTGCTGCTACTGCTATATTAGATATTACACTGTGTAGATCAAGAACTAGCTATAGGTTCAATTATTATTCCTATCTCACTGGATGGTTAGTCATACATGGAATTAGGGGGAGATAATACCTGCCTTAATTTAATACAAAAACAAAACAGCTCTGACTAAACAGCTGGCTATAAGTTTATTCAATACTGTATTCCCATCTCACAGGATGGTTAGTCATACATGGAATCAGGGGAAAAAATACCTGCCTCAATACAAAAACAAATCAAATATGACTAAAAATCAGGCGAGACCATAAAATATAAGGCTGATGTATATAAGAGATAGGCAAGGCCCCAGGATGCTACCCTGTGGCACTCCTATGGTTAATGGTAGAGTGGGGGCGTTATTTATTTATTTAATAATAATAATAATAATTTATTTAGGAAAAGTACATACTGTACATAGTTGCAGAGTTACAGTACAAACATTCTGTTTGATTTAAAGATAGAGGTAGTACATACAATACCTAAAGCCACTAGTACGCATAGCATTTCGGGCAAGGTGAGGTGGGGAAAAAATACTTAGACTAAAACTTAATACTAATCGAGCTTTAAGTATAAATTGCGTTGAAAGAAAAAAAAATAATAAAAGATGAAAAAAAGGGTGGGGGAACATGGTAGAAAATAACCAATATACAAGTTGGTCAACAAACAGCATTTTTTTTTTTTAAATAGTAAGACATGGGTTGACATATGGAAGTAAGGTAGGTTACATGGAGTTAATAAGTTACATGGAGTAAATTTATTTATTTATTTATTTATATACAAGAAGGTACATTGGGTTCATGAGAGTACAGAGACTTGAAATTTTACATTTAAGTAAAGCCACTAGCATGCATAGCATTTCGGGCAGATCCTGAATCTAACATATAATTTTAAGATAATTTCAAGCAAAATTTATTTTTTTTTATAGGTATATCATAAAAAAGTATTAAAATACATTGTAAGAAGGTATAAAATGCATTGTAAGAAGATATAAAAAAATAAATTGTATAAGAAATTTGACAAAAAAAAGTAGGTACTGTACATTAAAGTAAATTTAGGGGTTATCCAAAGGTACATTTTAGCATAATTTGAGGATTATTGCAAGATATAATGTAGCAAACTATGTGTATAACATGATATAAGATAACAACAATGATTACAATGGTAAAGTTCTATGGCATAGGTACATATTGCGGGCAATTGGGTAGCACTATATACAGTGCGAGTTTCCAGCACAAGCATTGATGGCTACATTTTGGTGTCTAGTGCTAAGAATGAATCGAATATAGTTTAGAGCAAGGCCTTGGATTCCATACTAGTAAAGTTTAAGTAAGAGGTAGTTATGGTGAAATATTCAAACATTTCTGCTTCTGCCCGAAACGCTTTGCGTAATAGTGGCTTTAGGCATTGTATATACTAGCTCTTATCTATAAAGCCAACAAACTTTGTAAAATCTCTTTATGTCTGTACCTTTGCCTAAATAAAAATTATTATTATTAAATTATTATTATATTTATAGACCCAAAAAGAGGTACTTGGTTAAACATTCATTCACATAAACAGGTTGTTCCAGACATTGCAGCTCTGATAATTTTTATAGACACCTCTAATAGATAAAAAAAAACTTCATTTTATCTTGTTGATTGATGGGCGACGACCATCGAAGGATCTCCATATTAATAGTTCTTAAAATAACATTTTAGTATATCTATGGGTTATTTTTAGGCGCGTATCCTTTATATCAGTATTGCTGAAACGAGGGGTCTAAAAACGGCCAATAGATACGCCTTGCAGCGTCTTCGCTACTCTGTAAACATAACCTAATTAACAAAAATTAATATAACTGAGATTACCTATCCTATCCTAATTTACCATAACCAAAATAAATATATAAAATTCTATATTATACAAATAAGGCTTACGAGGTGTGACGTCATAGCCTTAATTCCGGGTCAAGCTGTGGACGGCTACCAAGACGCTTCCAAACATCAACAATGGTGCAGACGCCAGGTGACCAACTCGACGTGTACTGATGGTGGCGACTCACGGGTCGTCGTTCCTCTAAATCAGCTTTGTTCTGTGTGGTCTGAGCCGCTGTAGCCGAAGGAAGAGGCGCTCAGCAGAAGGGAAATGTAGGAGGGACAGCTCCATTGTCCATACTTCTCTACGCCACCAGGCTTTGCTTTGCTGCCTCCAATTCACCACCAAGTCATAGCGTAAATCCTTATACAAACTGCACATACCACAAAGAAGACGGTAGAAGAAAGCCTTAATTAGCCTTCCCAATGACAGTGTCTCCCGGAGACACGCCCCTACCGCACAAGATGCCGCAGTAGCCTACTGGGCCCAGTAAGCTCAGGTCCCTGTACACCAGTTGATTGACAGTTTAGAGACGAGACCAAAGAGCCAGAGCTCAACCCCCACAAGCACAAATAGGCGAGTTCAAGTTTTGCAGCAATAAAGTGTGATAACTCACGCAAATAAGAAAAATGAAACATCACGAGTGTCTAGAATGTGGGAAAATATTCAATCGTCTGGCTCATTTGAAGCAACACATGGTGATGCATACAGATGATAAACCTTTCGAGTGTGTTGAGTGCATGAAAAAATTTAGATACCAAAGTAATATGTTGTATCACATGAAGGTGCATACGGGAAATAAACCCGACAATCCTTTCGAGTGCCAAGAGTGTGGGAAAAGCTTTAGCCGCCGTAGCCAAATAATAAGTCACATGTCAGTGCATACAGGTGATAAACCTCATGAATGTCCAGAATGTGGGAAAACGTTCAGTCATCCTGAATATATGAAGAGACACAGGATGGTGCATACGACTGTTAAGCTTCATGAATGTCCAGAATGTGGGAAAACATTTAGTCGTCATGATCATATGAAGAAACACATGGTGATGCATACAGTGGATAAACATCATGAATGTCCAGAATGTGAAAAAACATTCAGTCGTCCTGAAAGTATGAAAAGACACATGAGGGTGCATACGAAGGATAAACCTTACGAGTGCCCAGAATGTGAGAAAACCTTCAGTCGTCTCGAAGGTATGAAAAGACACAGGATTGTGCATACTGATGTTAAACGTTTTGAGTGTGCGGAGTGTGGGAGAAGATTCAAAGATCGTGGCGGTGTATTAAGTCACATGATAACGCATGCGGAGGATAAACTTCACGAATGTCCCGAGTGTGGAAAAACATTCAGTCGTCTAGAAAATATGAAACAACATACGATGGTGCATACGGATGATAAACCTCACGAGTGTCCAGAATGTGGGAAGGGATTTAAAGATCGACGCAATATGATGAGACACATGTTAGTACATGTGGATGCTAAACCTCATGAATGTCCAAAGTGTGGAAAAAGATTTAGATATCATCATAATGTGAAAAAACACATGTTAGTGCATACAGGTGATAGACCTCATGAATGTCCTGATTGTGGGAGAGGGTTCAGTCTACTTAATAATATGAAGGCACACAGGGTTGTGCATTCGGATGATAAACCTTATGAGTGTCCAGAATGTGGGAAAACATTTAGACACCGTTACGGTAAAATAAGTCACATGTTAGTGCACACGGATAATAAACCTCATGAATGTCCGAAGTGTGGGAAAAGATTTAAGCATCGTACAAGTATGAGAAAGCATGTATTAATGCATTCAGGTGATGAACCTCACTAGGCCTAGTGTCTTGTTTTGAGGGGAATAATCTTGATATTAATTTTACAAGGCACCATATAGTGTATATGTTGGATAAATTTTACATCGTTTAATTTGGTAGTACAGTAATGTATTGCGAGATGTATATCAGTTTAATTTATTTCATTTATTATGCACCCCATACCCATTCTATGGACAGTAGTTGAAAGGGTTATGGAGGCATATAATGGGCTCAGTCCCTGAGCCCATTATATGTCCAAAATTCATTTAGCTAAGCAAGTTACAGTCCTGATGAGCTGGTTACAAATTTAATGTACAGTATACTGTATTGTTATATCAACAATGGGTTCGAGATCAACTACAAATACAGTCTCTAAATTAAGCAATTTGAATATGTAAAGATCTAGTGTCATAGTTGATATGTTTATCTTGTACACACCCCCTCCCCCAACCTGTGGGCAGCAGTGGAAAGGTTATAGTCACCCATATCATCATACTACCAGGAAGGGTCCCAATAGTAGTAGGGTTCGTTCTCGATGCGCAGTTGAGAACTCCAGGTTCGAATACCAGGCGGGACAAATGGTTGGGCACATTTCCTATCACCTAAGGCCCTGTTCACCTAACAGTAAGTAGGCACTCGGGAGTTAGTCAGCTTGTGGGGTTGTATTCTGAGTGGGGTCAGTAATTTGACCTTGAGGGGGAACTACCTTGACGTTATCTTGAGGTGTTTCCGGGGCTTAGCGTCCCCGCGGCCCGGTCGCTGACCAGGCCTCCTGGTTGCTGGACCTCGATATAAGTCTAACGTGTATGAATACACTCTGGCTTCCTGTCCCCCGACACAATGAATTATTATTAACTACCTACAGTTAGTAAACTGAGGATATTTGGCTAAAAATTTTGATAGTAGATTATTTTGAATTAAATATTTACACATTTCATAAACATTTGTTTTAGAGTTCTCTAAATTCACATATCTTTTCGTGAATTTGATCTTCTCATGTAAGACGGATGATCTTTTCGTATCAGGGTGTGTGAATAATTTTGTTGACAATTTACATTTGGTTCCAAAATTCATATTACCCCTGACAAGCATTTGTCTTGGCTACAATTTATTATTTACATTAGGCTGGGATAAAGTCACCCATATCCAGACACTTAATGAAGTTATTGACATTCTTAGTTGGCTAAAATATAATTATGTTGACAACAGCTACATAACAGGAGATAACATTTTAAATCAACATTTTTTGACTCGTTTCTTCCAAGTGCTGAGCATTAAGTTTTGATATTACAGGAAATGGTCGTAGGGTATGACAGTACTCTGTAGTGGTGTTATCATATTCTTTTATGGCTTCATTTTTTTACATGATCAGTGTCTTTTTTTTTTTTTTTGAACCACTATTAAAGTCTGATATGAAATATGTTAAGTAGCCTGGTATGTTAAGTATGTGTGTCTAGCATTTACAATTGATTTGGAGATACTGTATTGTACTTGATTCAGGTGTCAAGATTCCAGAAATGGTGACAGATTACAGAATTGGTTTTCAGCAGCCTGTCCTCATAAACAAAGGCCAAAGTCCATTCCATGCACCAGCCAAACCCCCTGTTTATGAATGAAAACCGGTTTACACACAACTCGCAACTGATGACATTCGAACACTTCTGGAACAAGTGCTTCACTGACAATTTTTGTTTGAACCAAAACGCTGTAAATACCTCACCTACGTACTACAAATAATCGCCAACAGAATCTAAACACCTAACCCAACCGGTGCCTAAATATGCACAGCATGCTAATGTATAACAATACTAATTTATATTTGAGAAAATTCCTATTTTGAATGAACAACATGTTAAAATTGACGAATACGTCTTTGGGGTTGACCGCTGGATGGAATGGACTTGGCCTGAGGACGTATTGTTTTCAGACAACTTTTATTACCTATTTTGCAACTTGGTGTCATCCTGCAGTTTGAGGACATACTGTACATCAGCTTGAAAACAAAAGAAAATAAATAATACATTTTAAATATGGCAGCAACAAAATGTTTTATTTTTGTGAACCCATGAATTGAATCATGCTTTGGGTGGCCTGTCACCTGATGGAGGTCAGGCACATCATGGTTAGAGCTTTTTTCCCCCCTACAGTAACAATTATTTGTGTTATCTTGGGGGAGCCAATTTTTTTAAAGTAATCCTTTTTTGTTGTGCATAGGTTGATTTTTTTCTTTCTCAGTTTTGCGCTGATCTCTGATACTGAAGGGCTCATCATCGTGTACAGTAACCCATAATTTGGTCCTAGCTTCATCACCTAGCTTGTGGTAGGTGATGGATTGGTACTAGAGACCTGGTGTGCTAAGTTAAGGCTTGGCAGTTGCAAAATTAATTTTAGGAAGCAAATGGGGGGGGGCCTGTCATAAAAGTGCATTTCATTATGTGCAATGCTTGATTTTGGGTGCCGATGTCTGAAGATCAGTGACCATTCAAAGAGCGAGTGACGTTACCATAGCAGTTAAATTTGTTTGCCACCATTGATTTTATTAGTCTCAATTTTGCAATTGCATTGGCCTGCATCCGACATTTATTTTACCCTGAATCCAGCATGTCCTGAGCCAAACTTGGAAGTTTGTATTTCCCAGGGAATTTCATTTCATTGATGGTTGTTATCCTAGTCCTACTTATTTATTGTCTTTATGTAATATAATTCATAATTTATTAGGATGTCTGCTTTAAATTAGAGCATTCATAAATTTAATGTACTGTATTGTTTAAGCTTAATTAAATATTGCTTATTTAATATTGTATAAATAATCCATATAGTATTGTTGCTAGATTAGACATATATGATTTTATTTTGGTTCGTTAATTACTTGTTTTGGCTTTGTTAATTTCTGGTTTTAATGGATGTGAATAATATGTTATTATAGATTGTATTATTTATAATTAGTATAGTGAAATTAATTCATGGCACTTGCCTGTAGCCTGTTAATTAATAAATAGACCTCATTCGATAATGCTGTCTAAAATAAAGGTAGAAATGTAAACAAATATATTTTAATTAGCACATGTATGCACTTCATTGAACATTCTTTTTGTCCTTTGGGAATTCTTCAGTATATCACAGGCATTTTTAAATCTTTCAAGATATTTGGGGAATTAAACCCTGAAGGGTTTTGCCTTGCCATGGTGATGGAGCAAGTGAACAATGCCCTCACACCAATGAAGGTTGCTTCGACCCCTCTTCAGGCATTGTACATGTAAAGAAAACCATGTAGGGTTCCTATTTGGGTCATCAAACTACCTTTCAGAGGAATCGCTCTTAAATATAGATTTGGGTGTCCATGCTGTGGCACAAAGGAGAAAGACGTCTTTTTACTGATGCTGGAGAATATTCAATACAATAGGATTGTTGAAAACGGGATGCAGTACTTGGGACGACACATTCATTCCTTCACCAGATAGTGCTTGGTCCCTCACTGCCCTGATAAGTTGTATTCCTTGGCTCTGGAGCCCAAACGTATAAACTGACTAATCAAACTTGGGCTCTTGGAGTGGGTGACCAAGCCCCAGGGTCAGATTGTGATAGAAAATCAGGTTCCATAGCTCCAGCTGCATTGGACCCAGACTGCTTTATCTTTGGTTCACCCAAAGATAAAAGAGTCGTCGACCAGAACGACGGTTGACGGAAACAGAACCCAATGTGTAATAGTCAACAAAATAAAATCCAGCCCATCAACCGTGAAGAGCTCAGTCCCCCAGGGTACTGTGCTTGCTCCAGTACTTTTTCTCATCCTCATATTGGACATAGACAAAAACACAACCTATAGCACTGTATCATCCTTTGCAGATGACACTAGGATCTTCATGAGAGTAGGCAACATAGAGGACATGGCGAACCTCCAGTCAGATGTAGATCAGGTCTTTCTATGGGCTACAGAAAATAATATGGTGTTTAACGAAGAGTTTCAGCTCATGCGCTATGGAAAAATGAAAATATAAAAACGGAAACCACGTACAAAACTCAGGCAAATCATGACATAAAACGAAAAGGATCTGGGTGTACTCATGTCGGAAGACCTTACCTTTAAAGAACACAATAAAGTAGCCGTCACAACTGCAAGAAAAATGACAGGTTGGATAACAAGAACTTTTCACACTAGAGATGCTATACCGATGATGATACTTTTCAAAACGCTTGTGCTCTCTAGAGTGGAGTACTGCTGCACAATGACAGCACCTTTCAAAGCTGGAGAAATTGCTGACCTGGAGAGCGTGCAGAGATCCTTTACTGCTAGAATCCACTCAGTAAAACATCTAAACAATTGGGACCGACTAAAGAGCCTAAAACAGTACTCCCTTGAGCGCAGGTGGGAGAGGTACATAATAATTTACACGTGGAAAATATTAGAGGGGCTGGTCCCAAACCTGCACACAGAAATAACATCACATGAGACCAGAAGACATGGCAGGATGTGCAGAATACCCCCGTTGAAAAACAGAGGTGCAACTGGTACTCTGAGAGAGAACTCTATGAACATCAGAGGTCCGAGACTGTTCAACACGCTTCCACTACACATAAGGGGCATAACTGGCCGACCCCTCCCAGTGTTCAAGAGAGAACTGGATAAGCACCTCCAAAGGATACCTGATCAACCAGGCTGTGACTCATACGTCAGGCTGCGAGCAGCCGCGTCCAACAGCCTGGTTGATCAGTCCGGCAACCAGGAGGCCTGGTCGACGACCGGGCCGCGGGGACGCTAAGCCCCGGAAGCACCTCAAGGTAACCTCAAGGTAACCACCCTACTAATGCTCTCCATACACCAACTTTTTCTTTTGGCAGGGATGATTCCAATGTCCCCATTGGCAATTTCCTTGTCAACCATTGCTATGTACCATTATCTATTTGGCCCCACTACATAGACCAAATATTTTGATGTCTATCTTGATAACCTTACTTGCCCAGATGATTTATATATGCATAAATATCTTGTTGACTCTGTAGATTCACATGTTACCTTTAA